TACAACGTTTTCGTACTATCCGACCACCTGTTGTTGAGCAGTTTCTTCCCCGTCGAGTTTGCAACTCCAACTGCTGTCGCAGTTTTGGGGCCTGATCCTCTGCGACTTCACCGACTGTGACAGTTAAGGAAAGTGAGCTTCTGCAACTTTTGCAGCTCCTGCATCTTCTGCACCTGTCGCAGTTCGGGAGCCTAGAAGCTGCCATTGTCCAGTTGAAGCAAGTGTAGTTGGAAGGGGGGGGTGGCGAGTAGTGGTAGTAGTAGTAGTAGCAGCAATAGCAGTAGGAGTAGTAGTAGTCGTAGTAATAGTAGCAGTAGTAGTAGTAGTAGTCGTAGTAATAGTAGTGCTTGTAGTGGTAGTAGTAGTAGTAGTAGTAGTCGTAGTAATAGTAGTAGTAGTAGTAGTAGTGGTAGTAGTAGTAGTAGTAATAGTAGTAGTAGTAGTAGTAGTAGTAGTAGTTAGTATTATTATTAGTAGTAGTAGTTAGTGGTAGTAGCAGTGGTAGTAGTAGTAGCAGCAGCAGTAGTAGTAGTCGTAGTAGGAGTAGTAGTAGTAGTAGTAGTAGTAGTAGTAGTAGTACTAGTACTGGTACTAGTACTAGTACTAGTACTAGTACTGGTACTAGTGCTAGTAGTAGTACTAGTATTAGTACTAGTAGTAGTGGTACCTACTACTACTACTACTACTACTACTACTACTATTACCACAACTACTACTACAACTGCTACTGCTACTCCTACTACTACTACTACTACTACTACTACTACTACCGTTACTGTCAACTACACTTCGGCCAAGCCTGCGACCTCTACAAAGCTGCAGAGGCCGCAGAGATAAACACCAATGAAGGCAGCACTACGCGGAATGCTACCCCGAAGCTGTCGAGACCCTAAAGTGCTACACATATCCCAACACAACCCCAATCATCCCACAGAACGCCTACAACACACTTAAAACCCTTTTCAAGACCTCATCTCACACAGGGTCTCCAGTGCCTTCCCTCAGGGTTTCTGCATATAGCTAGAATGTGACAAACCACAACACCCCGGTCCAATCATGATATACCGTGTATATATATATATACACACATCATATATAATAGTAGGTCACACAGTATCTACTATTGTATATTATCGAAGTATATTATACTTACGAAGCTCCGGCAGGTTGAAAGGCACAGGGGACTCGGCGGGTTGCCTCAACCTGACGCGGCCCCTGTTCAACAAGGTCCGCGCCTTTGTCTCCTCGTTTCGGGTTTAGGTTTGGGTTTAGGGCTTAAGCTTGAGCAAGGGTTTAGGATTTAGGGTGCTTGGCGCCTGAACTCCTAAACTTTGAGCCACGGTGTCATGAATGATGTTATCCGTCTGCTCGGACTTTTGAGGGTGGCTTTGGCCTTGACGCGTCTCTTGTTTGCAGTGCTTCTGGTCAAGAGCCGTCGGTTTTGCTCTGCTGTCTCTTGTGTTGGCAGGACGCGCCATGCCTGTTGCCGCCGTGTTCCATGATGGGCATCTACCAGCCGGTGAAGAACGGGACAGTCCCGAGTGCTTCGAAATTAGGCTTCGGGGAAATTCGACACCCAACCCCCCCACCCCTCCGGAAAAAAACAAAAAAAACTAAACCCATCAAGCCAC